TGACAATCTTGGAACCCTTATATAGAGATATATATGGTTGGCTGACAATCTTGGAACCCTTATATAGAGCTATAATGTATTATATATGGTTGGTTGCTATGAGTCACAATCAACTTGATGGCAGTGGATTTTTTCCTTGTACCCATGTCTTAGTTGCATCTTAAGCAAAGGGCGACAGGTACTTTGTCTTCAGGTGTGGTAGTGAAGATCCCAGAGCCTTTACCCTAAAGGACACTATAACCACACACCATTCTCACTATTCTCATAGTCACCAATTTCTTCATTCTTAAAGTGATTTATTGGCTAAACAAAGTCTTCAAAATGGGAGAAAAAAAAAATCAATGGTTTATCTTAAATCTACTATCAAAATATGAATTCATCACCATGGCTGGACTTTTATCATAAACTAGGAGACCTGTCTCCTTCCAAAAACTCCCACAAAAATGTATATCGTTGCCACACAGGGAACACAGATGGTACTGAGTAACTGGAAGTCTGACGCTATGGGTGAAATACTACTATCTCTTTCTCATCTTGTACTAGTCTGTTTCATTATCTAAAAAATGGGGATAACTATAATCTACTTTGTGGGGATGCTGAGAAAGCCAAATGAGATAATACACGAAAAGTGCCAGGCACAATCTTAAATTCACAAACAGGATTGTTAGGTCTATCGCACCCTCTAGTGGTGAAAGACTTATTTTTAAAATCCTTTGCCAACAGTGCAAATTTACTATGTGTTGTTCTTAATTGCTGAGTTGATTCAGACCCATAGCGAACCCAGTATAGGGTTTCCAAGGAGCAGCTGGTGAGCTTGAACCACTTACCTACCTTGCAGGTCAAATGACTCTGCAGTCTGACATATTAGCCCACAATGCCACACCAGGACTCCATGAGTATGTGTAGACTATATGAATAATATCCAGTTTACCTTCATGTGTTTTATTAGCTCATAAAGAGCTAGTGTTAAGAAAAGCCAATGCTTTCACAAATCTGCCCCTTCAGTCTTTTTCATTTCCTGCTGAATGAAAATACTGATCAAGAGAGGAAAAGGCAAAGGCTTTTGGTTTTTGCTACACTGACGTTCAAGTGAGACCAAAGGACATGCATCTTTGTTGCTTTATAGAAGGAAATTTTGAAACGAGTCATCTTTGTTGAACAGCACTGGGTTATTTACAAGCCAAAGTAATAATTAAATATGCCCAAGACTATGAATTTATTCTTCTCTGCCTAAACCCTTCATTTTTATAATGGATAATTACAGTAAAAATTTTGATTAACCAGAACCTTCAATTAACATGATTTTCCTTCTTAAAATCTATTTTTAGGACAAAGTAGAAACAAAATCACAAGAAAATTTTATTCATGGGAGGAATTTAGTTTGAAAATTTCCAGGATGGCTTATGCTATATGTTAAGTAGAAAAAGTCCAGAATACAAAACACATTCACATTATGATCACCATTTGAGGGGAAATTCATGTAACTGGACAAGAGCTGGAAGGGAATTAAAAAAAAAAAAAAAGTGGTGGGACTGTGAACTACTTCCTGTTCTTTGTTTTCATAACGAACAAATAAAAGCCAAAGGGGTATGTGTGCAGGAGGTAATTCAAAACTTTACTGAGAAATCTTAACAGTCAAATTGACACAGAATTAGAATCCTAAGTCTTTGAAAGATCTTTAGAATCCAAGTGATACCATGATATCCTTAAGATAGCCTATCAAGACAAAAGTAGGTCACTTGGAAAATACATTCTCTAATACAACCTGAAATAAAGTTTGTATAAATAGTTAATTTTCAACAAATCTGAAAAGAAATTTATCAAGACATCCCTTATCAGGAGCATCCATCTTCTTTCTGATGGTTTCACTGACGTACAGAACTCAACAGACCAGAGTCGTCGGGCCAAGGAGCCACCACTGAATTGAAAGCTCAATATCAAATCCATCTATTTAAAATACTGTTTATTTGTGATTTCACATTAATTAGCATTACATCTAAGAGCAATATCAGATAACATTTATACATTTTTTTTCCACAGGACACAGAGGTTCATTGGCTCATTCTTTATACCAAAGCAAGTAGCCAAAGGTGCAATAGTTCACTGTTGCATTTAAAAAATATTTATGCACATTGCATTCATTTAGATAGATATATTTTTAAAGTTATGAAAAGCATAGTTCACAGGTTACTGTTTCTACATACATTGTAATACAACATAAATGATGTAGAACATTAAAAAAAAAATCCTCAAATATAGAGTTAAGCAACTGAAAGTTTCCTCTAAGAGATTCCAACACTGATTCCAGTAGTTCATGAGATCTAGAAGACATTCCCAGGTTCCGTTCACCTTGGCAGTATCATACACAAACAGAACCAGCTCTAGAACACACTGTACTCAACAGTAATTTTTGGCATGCCAACTCACCCTCCCAAAACATCTGAATTCATTTTACCCACTGGCCATTTTGGGTCACTGATTTGTGACATCATTTAGGAAAAGTGTGGAGGTGGAAGGGCCGGAAGGGGAACTATATTAAGCCTAGGTTTAAATCTGTATTTACATGAGAAAGAAAGTTAACTAAAGATTTGTCAAAATAAAAGTGGTAGTTTTCTCACTGGTGGGAACAGATCTCATTGATTTTTTTTCTAGTCCTGTCCTCTAAAGATAAACATGTTAGAAACATTTTTAAAACTCAAGTATTATATGCAAGAAATACACTGATTTTGGCAAAGAAGTAGAATTTTGGAAACGTAGGGCATGTTTCCAATAAATCATACTTCATACCGTGTAGTGAGTATGAGTCATTATCAAATTGTTGTTAAGTGCCATCGAGTCAATGCCGACCCATAGCGACCCTGTATAGGGTTTCCAAGGAGCAGCTGGTGGGCTCGAACCACTGACTTTGCAGTTCAAACGACTTTGCAGTCTGACACATTATCAAATTACAACATTTTTTTTCATGTCCCATCTTCTGTTCCCTTAAAATTTTCACTTTCCTTCTCATTTTTCCCTTTCATTTGGTTACTTTATGAGACTCCACGCCCCCCATTCATCAGCAATACTAAGAAAAAATACATTGTAAGATTCAAATATGAATCCAGTTATACTTTCATATGCTCTAATCCCCTTTTGATAACAATTCCCTGGATTCTTAAATTATGTTTTTTAAGTATATACTCAGTGCCTCAAGTATGCGCTACTATTTAACGATTGCTACTATGCATATGACACTTTTATACTGAGTGGTATATAAACATCTCAACATATAAAAATTGTTTTTGCCAGAATTTAACTAAATAACCCATGTTATGTGTACAAAATCCCCTTTGTTGAAAAATAAGGGGCTTTCTAAACTAATAAAAAAGGAAGTTTTAAAAAATTATAGTTTACTAAAATGATTTTTTTTTTTTTTTTGGCAAACAAAGTTACTTTAGGTGAGAAATTTTATACAATGAGTAAAATTCCAAATGAATCTTTTCTTAATTCTTAAAAAAATATTATGTGCCAGTGTATACTAATGCTATAGATTCTTGTCTGAGAAGCTCTTAAAGCATTCTGTTAAGACCCACTGAAACAATTCAACTCACAAGGTACAGTCAATACCACTGATAAAAAAGTTATAATCTGATTACCAAGTGAGATAGTTGCTGAGAAACAGAGTCCTGTGCTTGCTCACTAGTCGTTTCTTTCTGACAGATATTATGGAGAAGGCCCAACATAAAGCAGACAGCGATCTGCTGGTGGTGAACTCTTAACACCTCCTGAGGGTAGAGCTAAGTAAAACTAGCAACTCTTGAAAAATTCAAAGTTATTTTGGAATCTTTAAATGAGAGATGAACTCGAAAGATTTTTCCATAATGTTTTTCTTTTAGTAAAAGCTCTTTCCAGTTCTTAAAGTCCAGTTTGCTATATCCGACCCCCCCCAAATCTGATCTACCACTGCATATTCATGATCAATTTAAATGTGGTATTTAAATGTGCAATGTCACATTGTAATAATAGTAATTCTAAAAAGACTTTACTTAGGCTTCAACTTTCTCCTTTTTTTTGTTCTTTTTCAGGAAAGAGGGAGTGCGGAATTTCTTCTTCTTCTTGGATGGTGATTTTGAAGGTGAGCCTTCAGGTGACAGGACTTCTTCAATTTTGTCTGGAGACTTGATGGTAATCTCGATGTTTTCTATGGTCGTGCTTGTAGTTAACCTGCTCACTCGCTTAGCAAGCTCATCTTCAACATCATGCATATCATCCTTGCCATTCACTACCATGACAGGCACTTCCATGGAGATGAAGCTCTTCGAAAACAGCTCATGGTTTTCTACAAAAGGGTGTTTTATCTTGTTATTTTATATAGCTAACATATCTTCTTTAGTTTACAACACTAAAATATTTTAACTATGCTCTAAGGCATTACTTTAATTCCACTGAACACTGACATTATTTTAAAAGACCATGGATTTTCATAAATGGCATAAGGGAGGGAGGGGCACAAAATTGTTGGATCAAAGAACACAAGCTACATAACTTCAGTTTGAATTACATGACAGTTTCATTGCAAAGCAAATTTCAATTCTTCTTTTTTGTTTTGAGCTCATTTGGCAACCAAAGTAGAAAAAGATGTCATGCTTCTGATCGAAGTCTTTTGATATATCTATTTTAATTTACGAATCCTGGTGTGGCGCTGTGGGCTAATGTGTCAGACTGCAAAGTCATTTGAACTGCTGCAAGGTTGGTGGTTCAAGCTCACCAACTGCTCCTTGGAAACACTATCTATACAGGGTCGCTATGGGTTGGAATCGACTTGACGGCATTTCAACAACAACATTTAAATTTAATTCCCCCGATTTTTAAGAACTATGGGTTGGCCGAAGTCCATATTAAGGTTCTGCTGCTGTGAAGTTAAGGTAAGTCTATGTAAATGTTGAGCAAAAGTAGCACTTTATTTAATAGAAGAGTCCTGGTATAGCACTATAGGATAAGCACTGGATTGCTAGTGGTTCAAACACACCAGTCATTCCGCAGAAAACCTATGTTGTTAAGTGCTGTCGAGTCAGTTCCGACCCACAGCAACCGTGTATAGGGTTTCCGAGGAGCAGCTGGTAAGCTTGAACTACCAACCTTGCAGTTCAAATGGCTTTGCAGTCTGGCGCATTAACCCACAGCACCACACCAGGACTCCCTATACAGGGCCACTATGAGTCAGAACTACCTCGATGGTACTTTAAATTATTGGAAGGTTTCAGTACAATTCATTATAAACTTACTGTAATCAGTTTCCTTACATGCAAATAACTGATTAAAGAGCAGATTCGTAAGACTAATTCAGGGAATACTATGGGAAATTACATTGAATACCTTCTAATTTTTCAGAGACATTTTGCGGTGACTGAGTTTGAGAGTGAATTTGTGAAACAGATGAAGCGTCATCTGAGAGTAATTCCTGCTCAGCATCTGTTGGATAAGAGTTTAGTTAAAAGCCATGCAAACCAAAACACAAAAAGAAGCATAAGTAGTCAGGGCAGTTAGTGCATACATCAAATGCCTGCATACTGAGCATGCTGACAGTTACCTCAAACATCGATCGATAATTATTCATTATGAGGAAGTTAATGTGTTAAAATTTCTGGGTGCTAGTAGCAATTTGACATATGGGTTAACAAAGAAAGCACAGCCACTGGCAGCCCAGGCAAATAATATGTATGCATTTAGCTTTTGCTAGAATGTTAGAAAACCAAATACACTGAGCACCAGATAAAAAAATTTATGTCTGTCCAATGTCGCTATAATAACGAGGCAGAATGCCTCACAGAATTTTTGAACAATATCCAATTAGTGATTTCTGTAATTTTAGTGGCCTGTTTCAGAAGGTCATAATGAAGGTGGGTGAAATTATAAAGTCGCATATAAAAAGATGGCGTGGGAAGGTGCAATGTTTGTTACCTGGCATCTTTAGGCTTTCAAAAAACAAGATTAAAGAAGGACATTTTACAAAAGATAAAAAACAGAGAAAGCTGCCAACCTCATGTTATAATAGACAAATTCAGTAATAGTACTTAGAGCATTAGTCAAGATGATTCCATCTTATTACAATGGCACTAACAAACTGATAAACACTGTTCTCTGGAAGATCCTATATATAATAACTTTGGACAAAAATTATTTGCTTCTCTTTTGCCTTAGGTAAAAATTTAAAACAGAAGATTTTTAACTGTAGGTCTTTATCAGAGGCTCTAACTTTCGGGGTTGCAAACTCTGGCCCCCACCCAGCAGCTCCCCTTCCCCAGTGCACATCACACACAAGAGTAAACATGTCTTTTTCAGGTGGTTCATGAATTGTCTGAAGCTTATCCAAAGGCCCATCACTGAGAACCCCTGTAAAAAAGAACTAGAGAGAGGAGAGCATGCTGGCATTCGGCTAGTTGGGGTGACTTCATTACCATTTATTAAACACAGCCCTAACAAACTACTTACTGAGAGTTCTCAACCCCAAAACTCAATCTCCCTAAAATGCCAAATACTCAAGGAAGGCCACATCAAAATTCCAGCAGTTTGTTTTACATTTTGATTTTGAAATTATAATCTTGACACTTGGAGACACTTAGGAGTGTGAGAGAAAGCTATATATTTGTAAATGTATAATTATTCCAAAATAAAAAGTTAAAAAAGCTTACCAGCTGCTCCCTGGAAACCCTATACAGGGTCGCTATGGGTTGGAATTGACTTGATGGCACTTAACAACTATGAAATGATTAACTCTATTTGTTTGTTTACCTATTTTGGCAAGCCTAGAAGACTTTCAGGTAGCTCTTTGCATTTCAGTCTCAAGACCTCAGTAAATGACAAGGAGAAGAAACAGAATTTATTATTATAAAAACTAACGAACCTTCCAGGCCTTGCTGTTTCCGTTCGATTGTCTTCTTATATTCTTCAAGTTCTCCTTCTGTGAGATGACTGAAAGGGTTGGGAGGAGCTGGCGAGGCATGATCGTCATCTTCAAATTGCATGGTCTTGTAAAGAAGAATTTGTTACCAAGCGTTAAATATACATAAACACACACACACAGCATACATATAAATGTTGTTGTTAAGGCCCACTGAGTCAGTTTCAACTCATAGCGATCCTATACAGGGTTTCTGAGGAGCAGCTGGTGGGTTTGAACTATCAATCTTGAGGTTAGTAGTCCAGTGCTTATCTTATAGAGCTATACTAAGACTTCAAATACATATATGATGTTTGTGACACCTCAATTCACAACCATAAGAAATGTTTTAAAAAAACATTCTTATCAAATTAATGTACTTCAACAGTGATATTTCCTTAGTAAGTCTACATATGCCAATTTTCATAACCTTTTTAAAAAAAGAAAACGTAAGATTAAGCCAGATGTGGTACTGTAGGGTAAGCATTGGACTGTTAACTGTTAAGGTCGCAGTTCAAATCCACCTTGGCAGTTCAGCCGCTCCTCAGAAGCTCTATACAGGGTCCTATGGAACTGACTTGATGGTACTTACTAATAACAAAGCCAAGTTCTAACAACCTTTAAGTTAATAGTTCTAATAATTACGATAGCTTTAAAAAAAAACTAAGAATTGCTCTATTTCTTTGTAAACCTTAGAAAAAGGAAACTGTACCAGAACACCTTTAAATCTGCCATGAAAATAAACCTGTTTTCCAGGAATTACTGGAACTTTCAGTTAAGGTTGGTAGATTGAACCCATGCATTCTTTCTGTTTCCTCCAAAATACCACAAAACTAATAGAGGAACTGCAAGAAAACATAAATATATAAAGTCAAAATAATATGAAGTCAAAATAGCTAAAGAGACAAGGGAAGACGAGCAATGTGAATGCGTTTCTGGACGACGGACAGTAGGGTGGGAGAGTGGGTATCAGAGCTGAGAACGCTGAAACGTAAGTCCTGTGCAGAAGGCTGTAGATGAGAAGGGTCTGCATGTGCCTCAGACCCAGCCTGGTGAGGCTCAGAGACTGCAGCCAGCGGTCCTACTGAAGGTTGTGGTGAAGGGAAAAACTTAAAATGGGGACAAGTTAAAAGACTAAGTAACAGAGAGACTTCCTAGTTCCCTTCCTACTCTACACAGCAAGTGTTTGATTTCCTCACACCTCCATAGACACTAAAGGTTGATTCTTCAGAAAAACTGATTGTTGTTGTTATGTGCCGTGGAGTCAGTTCCGACTCATAGGGACCCTGTACAGGGTTTCCAAGGCTGTAATCTTTACGGGATCAGAAAGCCTCATCTTTCTCCTGCAGAACAGCTGGTAGTTTCAAACTGCTGACCCTGAGGTTAGCAGCCCGGTTCATAACCACTACGCTACCAGAGCAAGTGTTGTATTTCCACACACCTACACAGAGACTAAAGGTTGATTCTTCAGAAAAACTGATAAGGGGACATAAAATCCAGCTGAGGGCTCCTAGAATAATGGTGGAAGACTGGCAGGAGGCTGGAAATCCTTCTCTGGAAAATTAAATGGCCCCAGATAAAAACTACAGATATTGCCACTTAGGGATTCCCCCAGAGAAAACAACCTGGTCCACATCCAATCACTACAGAGGAAGCGCACCAATCACCAAGCTCTGTACACTTCTGATTCCATCTTAAATACAAACAGACTACCACAGATCACCAGACACTTGAGGAATGCTCCAACATGAACAAGAAAAAGGAACTGGGAGAAACGAAGACAATGCAGGGTGCTGAAGAACATCTAAAACGGATTCCCTTAGAATGAGAAAATATGTATCTGTGCAACAAAGACCAACATGTTACAAAACAGGAACATTCAGAGAACACAAACTTTTAAAAACTAGAAAAAAAAACCCAATTAGCATTAAAATTAAAAAATTCAATGCAGGGTTAGAAAATGAAATCAAGAAAAATCTCTTAGAAAGCAGGATAAAAAAGATAAATAAGTGAATCAGGTTTAATTAAAGATGTCCAACATCCAAACTAATAGGTTATCTATCCTATAAGAAACAAGAAAGAAATTCGAGGGGGAAAAACTACTGAAGAAATAATGGGGGAGGGAGGGCATGGGATCGCAGGTTTAAGGATATGATTTAGCAGACTAGAGAGACTATTAATGCTAACAAGGAACAAATACAGAACTCTAAAACACACCATCATAAAATTTCAAAACAGTAGAAGTGAAAAAAAGATCTAAAAGAAAAAAAAACCAAAACCAGGTCACATATGCAAGTGTTAAGAATCACAATGCCCTCTTCCTTCTCTGTAAAAGCGTTCAGTTGGGAAAATGGAGCAAGGCTTTTTCATAGTCTGGGGGAACATTATTTCCAAATTAGAATTCTATACTGCTTATGTTCGTTGGAGGATAGGAGAAAGACATTTTCAGACTGCTAGCTTCTGTGTGTCCTTCTCAGTTATTAGAGGATGTAGTTCATGATAAAAGAGTAAACCATGTGATGCAGGAAAAAGGATGGAGCACAGGCAAGAAGCACAAGAATGCTCACAGTGAGTCTCTGTGGCTGGACATGGCCCACAATGACAGAGGCTGGACATGGAGAGATTCCTGTTAACTTGATCCTATGGAAAATAGTAAGAGGGACCTTCTATTTCTATTGGAAAGTCTGGGAAAAAGTAGTAGTAGCTTTGTTGTTAGGTACCCTTGAGGTGATTTCAGTTCATAGCAACCCCGTGTGAC